TGGTGCTACAGTAAGTATCCTGCGCCGTACAACAGCGCGGCACGGATGAGTGGAATAGTGACAGCTGTAGAGTCATCGAAAAATTATCATCTAGCAGAACTGTTGGAAGAATTTGAAAGCAGACTAGCTGCTTTTTTGCGTCTGCTGAATTCGCCTTTGCTGCTCCTTGACTAGAGTGATGTTCCGACTCTTCAGTTCTTATCCTTGCTTCTGGAGTAAACTGATTGCACCATTTTGTCTTGGAATGAATTCATCTCGAGACCGACTCTTTAGCATTTCTTCTATGAGTCGATCAGTTTACTCTGGAGTTCGAGTGCATCATGAGTGAGAATGACACAGTCATAACGAAAAGCAGGTGTGTTAATCGCTCTCAAGTGAATACCATCACTCCAATCAAGGTCTCTAGAAGAGCCTCGAGCGTTATTTCGAATAACTCTGGTAGAATCGTGTCGCGTTGGCGGATACCTTTGCTAACTTCTATATGACACGGATCGTTGAAAGGCTTGATCTCTGAAGTGCTGTTTCTGTTGACCCCCCTCATAAGATCTGTATAACTAGATTGATGTCGTATCCGCATAATGCTTTCAATATCACATTTTCTTTAAACAAATCAAATGCTTTCTTGTAATCGACGGAAGGCAGACAAGGGTATTAGGAACCCTTACGCTTTATAGTGTGCAACGGGTCAAATGTTGAGTATCCACATCGAGACCTGCTTATTCTCTGCATATCTATGTCTAAGTCTTTGACAAGACAGTTAAGGATTATTCGTGTGAAGGTCATATATTAGGTTGATCCAAAGTTTCGTGACCATCTCGAACTTTTTCGAGTTAAGTTTGTATCAGTGAGAAGCAATTTTGATCAACAACATATATGTTACCTCCATCAGCAACTTGTTGCCAACCAGCAAGGCAACCACCAGGCAAATAGTGGTTGCCTTGCTTCCAGAAGCTTTTTGCTTCCGTGCCGAGAAAGGCAGCTGGGTCATTTTTGAGGTACTTTCAAAAATCGTATTTTTTACCCAGAAGATGGCCGCTGTGGGATTAGTTTAGATGGCGATCGGAAAGAGCTAAGTCAGGGCTACACGAAGACTGTGGGGAATTTCCCAGCTAAGCTTCAGGATCTCGAGCAGTGTCATTTTCGAAACGCGTGACCCTGAGCTGTGGTGCTGTAGGCAAACATTGCTCGGTTGTGGGACCAAATGTGGGGATTGCAGTTGGTTACAGTAGGGTTCGCTGGTTTACCACAGCACTGAGAAGAAAGAAATTCCGTGCGAGGAAGAGAGAAAGAAACCCCACCATATACTCACCGCCCTACTGAATTGATAGGATTGCGCGACCGGTTCTGCCCTTTCGGAGTGGGGGGGGGGGGGGGGGGGGGGGGGGCAGGAGGGGTGGGTGGGGGGTGTGGGGGGTGGGGGGGGGGGGAGGGGGCTCTCTAAGCCACGTGGCGCTTCGGAGAAGTGAATTCATCACCTCGAGACACCTCCTCCATATCCAGATTTGCAACGCTGTTCATCCAGTCCGTATGGCGGAAGTGGGAGAGGAGTTGTAGACAGTACCCACAACAGCTCCCCTTGGAGTAACTCGGGTCAAACTCAAGTGAGAAAAAATTTGACCGAAGTTCAATACTGTTTTAAGGGAGTGAGGTCCACTTTCATTTGTGCTTTTGGAACAGTCAAGTGTGAGGAGTAGATAGCGAGTTGATTTGTATGAATTGTTTTTAATCAAGGAACAGAGTAGGTTCTAATCCAAGGCAGGCGCCCTCCCTGGACGAAGTTTTTCTCCCATATAGAAGTCACTCAAGCGAAAGCGATCGAGCCATTTCACACCGAATTGTGAAAAGTACCATCAGGACCTAATTCAGAGAAAGGCCGCTTGTGGCTTCAACCGCGTTGTGGCGGCTTGGAGATTCATATAGCGAAGTGTGTTGAGAATGATGAATTTTAATTACCGTTTTCGGATGTGAGAACAGCGACTGCGAGGAACGGTAAAGAAGCTGTGTGGTGCTTGCTCAACACACTTCCCATAGACCACATAACTGGATTCTGAAATGGCTACGGAAAGATCTGATACGAGATTCTAAAAATGGTCACAAACTTTTGGGACAACCTAATACTTTTTATCAGCAGTATTGTCTCTGATTTTTTTTTCATGCTAAGGGACCGTATTTTCGCCTGAATATCTGCTGAACCGTTCCACCAGGGGCTTTGAACAGAGAGATCCCTCCTGCTTTCAGGTGTTGGGACAAATATTGTAGGTACTGGGATCTTTCTCGTCTTCATCTGCCGTACTGCATGTTCGACTTCTTCACACATGATTCCTGGGATCAGTTCTCATACAGCGGATGGGTGAGCTTTTAGAGGAATACAAATCGTAATATAAGGCTGCGTTTATACTTTGCGGCAGCGTAGCGTAGCGTAGCGCAGCGTAGCGTAGCGCTTCCAGCGTACGCCAGCGGCAGTGCCGAAGAGAGGATGCATATCGATCTAGCTTCACCAGCGTCACCAGCGGCACGCTAGCGGCACGCTAGCGTACGCCAGCGTTTCTCCAGCGTTTCACCAGCGTTTTGCTAGCGCTTGCAGCGGCAGGGGAGTAGAGACTATGGGAGAGCTGGAGGGTACAAAACTCATCGATTGCGCGTCTCCCACTCGCCCTTAGTCTCTACAATGCACATCGCTTCTGCGTCTCCGACGGCCCCATAGTCTCTACGATGCACATTGCTTCTGCGTCTCCGACGCCACATAGTCTCTACAATGCACATCGCTTCTGCGTCTCCGACGGCCATATGGTCTCTACAATACACGTCGATTCCGCTTCTCTCACGGCCACATAGTCTCTACTCCCCTGCCGCTGCAAGCGCTAGCAAAACGCTGGTGAAACGCTGGAGAAACGCTGGCGTACGCTAGCGTACGCCAGCGTGCCGCTGGTGACGCTGGTGAAGCTAGATCGATATGCATCCTCTCTTCGGCACTGCCGCTGGCGTACGCTGGAAGCGCTACGCTACGCTGCCGCAAAGTATAAACGCAGCCTAACCCTCAGGGCAAAGTTGCTTGCATCTTCTGACCATATTCCTGTCCCTTACACCAAGCATCGTCATTCAGAGCCGATGTACATGTGTTTGTACCTTATATCCATATTTCAGGCTTGTTCAATTTTCTGCAGCTTCAGGGAGTTTGTTCTCTCTATAGCCTAGTCTTGTTTGATCTTTTCCATCATTGCTTTCCAAAGCGTTTTGTACTCATCGTTTTGCACTTTACATTTCAAAGGGTCTCCTCTTCATCATTTGCATTAATTCTGCCAATATTCGTTGGTGACTTGCTGGTTAAGCCGCTATACTGGCAATTGTTGACAGCAACTGCCAGTTTTTATAAATAGCTCCTAGTCGAACATCAATGACTTTTTGTGCGACCTATTGCAATTGCGCGATGATAATTTTATATAAGCAAACACAACGGTCCAGCGCAACAAGCACATAATACACCGATTTTCCACTGCTTCATATCAACGCGAATCCTCGACACGTCTGTGAGGAGCGAATTGGACAGTGGTCACCAAACGTCTTTCTCTTACGACCTGAGTCGTCAAATGAACAGCCTTTAGGTATTAGCTGTCCAACGGACATGAGCCTAATCGATAATTCTCGCATGACGGAATTTTTCACAGCTACGGCGCTCTTGGAAGAAAAGTGTTCAATAACTGAGAAGATGCTGCTCCGGCAAGAAATTAGATATTTTTATTCTAATTTTTAATATAGATTAAGATCATTGAGTAGTCTCAGATCCCTGTAGTCTTGTTTTTTTCCGTAATGTGAGGATCCGTTAATATTTGCTATTGAAGAAGTTCCCGACTCTCCATCGGCTGGACAAGCACCGCTGTGTCCCAATCACAGTGCTTCCAGAAGAGGTGAATGGTCAACTGACCGAACTGTCGACAACAACGAAGCGCCAGTCGCTAGGTGATGTTCGGCAGCCGTCAAAGTGAGTTGGATTCAGTTTCTGCTACCTCCACGACAGCTGCACTTTACATTTATCTTTTAAAATTTCAGGAAATATCAGTGCCAATTCTGTTCCCATTCGTTCTATTCATTTCGAGCGTACAAAGAACATTGCTCACAACATCAGGGACTTCGGCCACATCTCTGTTGGACGTGCCACAAATCGTTTAGAACTAGTGGTGGGTTCCATGCTCAAAATTAGACACGTAAAAAACCACAAGTCTTCATGGATCCGAAAATTGCACTGGTCAAATGGTTTGGGTATATTATGAGGCGTTTCGCTTTGCTGTTATGATTTCACAGTGGAGCTGGCTTAGGGGTTAAGGGTAATGTTACATGCCTCAGTGTCAAGAACATGTCGCGGAATCCGCGACATGGGGTCGTATTAAAAGTTTCAGTGAGAAACAGTGGCAACATTAACGGAAGACCCCTTGCTTTTGTAGCTCGCTGTGGAGCGCGGTATCTGTCAACCCGGGAATTCATGACAATTTATTTTATTGTAAGTGAGACCACATTATAGCACGTTCACGTTTCTCTAAATACGGCAAGAAACCCATCAGCCGGTCTCAGAGGGTTGTTTGGTCCACATTATATCCATGTTCCATGGATTTATATATCTTCATCACCCCGATTCTGAAAAGGAGATGAGTGCATGGCGCATTCTATAGAAGTCGACAAGCGCTTCTATGTTTCAGTTATTATTTTTCATTCAGGAAGAGGTATATTGAAAGTCTTTTGAGGTCTCTTGATAAAAATGAGGGCTCTTTTGAGGTCCCTTGATGAAAATGAGGGCTCTATAACTGAAGGACTTTCTTAATACAGCTGAAGCAAACTTTCGGTTTAAAATGCGTGGCGGGCGAGTTTTCGACAAACCAAGGCTACAGCACTGTTATCGTATTTTTTGGAAAGAGAAGACTTTGTGGTCCTGAAACCGTGAAGGTTTCTGCTCTACGTTATGCATGAACAAAGTTGTGTCCATTTAAGAGTGAAAAATTCGCGTTTAAAAGATTTTGCGTTATTTCTGGTGATGAGCCGCCATGTAAGCCTAATGGTAAATTCTCCTTCCCAGAACCCTTATTTCTATGTTCCGCTTGGCAGAACATCGTTTGGGGATGATGTTATACTTTTTTCAAAAGGATTGATGCTCTGTAGAAGTGCAGTGAGTGATGCAGCGCTTTGCTTTCACAACACGCGACCCAATCGCATAATACATCGGCTATGTAAGGGGGATAGTTCATTTGAACACTCGATCCTGGAGACGATTCTCCGCGACAAGATGCTTGACCTTGTTTACATGGATGATAAGTAAAGAGAATTAGTTAGCTGTTTTTAAGAGCTGCTCGAACTTCACAAGGAAGTGCACAATCGCGGTCCAATTTACTGTGAATACTGTCCGGCTATACTCCAAGGACGACAGCAATATACACAGCACGTGCAGGCACGACATCAACCTGAATCAGGAATCGCTAAACACATCGGAGTTGACTTAACTGACAGAGTATGTTCTCATTTTGGTTTCACGTTCAGTTTTCTGTGGGGTAGTAATAGTTGAATAGTGCAACTTTTGGCGCTATTCAGCTATTACTATCCTATCTTCGGAAACAGGCCAGATTTTGACCGACTTTTTTCCAAGATTACACATTTCGCTGAAAGTTCGATTCTAGGGGTAGCTCGACCTAAACACGAATATCGCATTCGCTGGCCCGAAATTGCATGGTGCCTGCTCCACAGGCAC